GTAGGCAGAAATGGAGTTTAAATGGTGCTGGGGAAGCTAAAAACTAAGTGGCTAGCACAGAAAAAGCTATATATAGAAAAAGAGATTTAAGCAAAAAAATTGAAGTCTAACACATGTTCAATGCTGGATGAAAACAGAAATGAAATATTAATGGAATTTACTTTCTAATATCTTTGCACATGGGTTTTTTTCTTTCGTTCGTTGGTTTTCCAAAATTTCATCCTGATAGCTTACTCCACGTTTAAGGACAGAAGACTCCAGAAACTTTTCACTGAGGAAATCTTAAACATGATTCATACATTTCTAAACACATATTTCAATCCTCATTTTCAAGTAATTTTAATAGCCACTGAAAAAAGCGTGCATTGTTTTGCTTCAGCATATAGTGAGCCATGAAAACCAAATTCTGTTTACAGTAGGACCAGATTTTCTATTATTTTAGACAGTCATTTTCACAGAAAAACCCCTTTTATGTCATTACTAATGACATTACAACCTTCTCTAGTTGCCCTCAAGACCTGGCTGCTTTGTAGCAGACAATATTTGACATCTTAGTTTGCAATCTCAGAAAAAGCCAAGAGAGCAGCAACTGTCCTGTCAGAAAAAAATGGCTTCAGAAGCTGGTAAATATTTCACATTTCTATGGTGATGTGATAAAAATGGGTATGTTGGAATCAAGAGTGTGCCTGCTTTGTGATTAATTGTAGATGTCAATACTGAGAGGTACCTGCAAGGCAATTAGCACTGTACTTGCCTAAATGTCACCCCACTGTAAATACAGAATGGAAATAAATAGACAGATTGGCCTGGTACATGTTTGGATTTGGAACAAGAATCTCAGAAATGTGATTCCTAACCAAGCCAGTTTTTTATTATGTGCTGCTGATATGCTACGAAAGACTTCTCTCTTTCTTTTTTTCTGGTATGCTCTGAGGTTAATGCCACTCATCTCTCTAAAATGTCACGTGGAGATCCTTCCTAACCAAAGCCATCATCATATTGATGAATCCTAACAAAAAAAAAAAAAATCACCAAAAAACCAAACCAAAAAACAGTAAAAAAACCCCCCACCCTTTAAAAATTTCTGTAGATAAGGCTGTAAATGCTGACTGAAGTAGAATTTTGTTTGCCATTAGAGCCCATATTGATAAATGCTTTACAGTGGCTATTTAATTTGACAATCCTTTTCTGTTCTGTCTTCCCCAATCTTACAGTCATGTGAATGACTGAGAACAGAGTCACAACTTCAGGCTGAGAGTTAAGGAGCAGAAAAATAGAGGCTGATGTCACTGCTATGCAGAACTGAATATACATTACCAGAATATCCATCAAACTGACATTTCACAGTTTAACTTCTACAAAAGGGGAACAACAACACTGACCACCCTCCTCCATCCCTTTTGGGCATTCAGTCGTGATTCTACTGTAGATTAAAATCTGGAATGTAACTCTTTCTAAAGATTGGGAGGGGGGCTTTTCTATTTCATCACATAGCCAAGATTTTATTTTTTCTGGTGTTTTTCTTCTTTTAACTATAACATATTAGCTGCTGGTGGCCTTTGGAAAACTAGAGGATCAGATGATGCTGGCTCTCCTTCTTTCCATCTGCTAGCCTACATGGCAAGAAAACTACTATATATGTTAAATATTACTTTTTTATGAAAATAATTAGTACAGATGCAAGAATCTCATGGTCATGAAAGGTTTTGTGACAGAATTTTACTTTAAATTAAAGTTCATCTAGAAAGTTGGAAATCCTTATCTGCAAAAGTCTTTCATTAGTAGCACACACTAAACAATGATCACTGCTGTACGATGAGAGACAAATTAATGAATCAAACATTACAGATTTCATCACATTGGCTCATTTGCATTTAAGCTGGTTTCCAGCTCTGTCATGCATTTGCTTTTAAACGAGCCCCTGTGGATAGTGCTGCAATGTTTGATTCATTAATTTGTTTCTCAGTGTACAGCGGTGCTCACTGTTCAGTATACGGTGAAATACTTGGAAAATATTTGTTTTAACAACCTATCTTTTATTTTAACAAAGAAATAATAACCCTGGAGAAGGAAATGCTGGCCATCTTACAGCACAGCCCCTGCCAAATCTCCCAGTTGCTACCCCAGCCCATCGTTATACCACTGTGATATTATCTGGATTAAATCTTCACAGCTTGCTCTCACATATTCTACAATTTCATAAAGCTTTGAGCCAGCTCTTTGGGTTAGTGTTATGATGCCAAATCCAACTCCTGGGAAGTTAAAGGTGGCTTTAAGCCTTTGCTCTCCGATCCTTGGATTGGTCCCAAGCAGTGACTTAGATCAGCCTCCCGGACGCCCGGTGACATTCTGCCACCACTGTGTCTGCTACACCCCTTCCTCCACATTACAGCAGAGTGGGTTGCTTGGCAAAGCCATCTCTGTGAGAGCTGAAAAACTTTGGAATTGGTTTTTGGTTTGTAACAGCTTGAATTTGGTGACCTTACAGCACACTGAAAGCTCCATCTGTTTTAGAAGGAAAGAGAGACGCGTTCCCTGGCTGGTCAGTGCACGGGGACGAGCGTTTGCTAATTAGATGGGTGGTTGAATTCTCAAGTTCTTGTCTGAGCCTCAAAATTTAAGTTTATGTACTCAAATGCAACCCTAATTATACATATATAGTTATGTTGTAGCGATCATTGCTCATGTTTAGTTCTAAAGAAATAAATACACAGAGCAAATGAAAAATATGGAAGCTGGTTTGGTGGGCACTAGGAATTGGAGAGCAAAATGCTTCTCTAGCTAGAATTTCCCTTCCTCTGTCATGGCTGTGATGGATTGCAGCTTATAAAGGCAAGTCCATTTGACAGGAGGATACATTTGGACTATGAGATTTGTGGAAATGAGGGGCTAATTAAATGAGCTGTGCTTTTCATGAAGCAGGCAGGTTTTCATGTGCTGAGAGATGGAGTTAAGTAGCATCAGCAGATTACATTGCACAGCCCTTTCCTACCACTTTGCCTTTTTTAGTTTTTTTTTTTTAATATGTTGAACAGGAAAAAAAATGAATGTAATTGATACCAAACAAAATAAACCATCAAGATAGAAAGGCAACATCCTAAGCCTAAATTACAGAGGTCTGACACGGAAAATAACAAAAATCTCCCCTTTGCTTACTCCAAGTAATCCATAGATTCAACTGCATGCTAAACAAAATGAAACAACCCCCCCAAAAAAGTAAAACAACCTCCCCAAAGTTACAACATGCTGACTGCAACCTAGCCAAAGGCCACCCTACAGCCAGAATATTATGATCCCAGGAGAGGCCAAGTGCTGCATATGACACTGTCCCTCTGCTGATTAACACACAGACAAAAGTCGTCTCCTGTTTCCATCCCACCAGAAAGCCCTCAGGAAAGACTATTCCTTTCCACTGCCTGTGAGGAAGGAGGTATGAAGTTTTTAAAGGACAACAACAATTTTGGAAAGACAGCTTGACATTTTTCCTAAAATGTATACCTGATATTTTCTGCAGCAGAAAACTGCTGGTTCTTTCCTTACAGATCCAATATCACGTACTATTTAACCATATCCTTAGTTTTACCTGAAAGGAACTGTATAATGGGAAATTCTAAAAGTTATTTGAAAGGTTGGAGTAATTTTAATGTTTATTACAAGAAATGTGCCTCACTGAAAAATACATTTTTTAATACTAATCTCTATGTTTTTCTTCCTTGAAAGATTGTATTTCACAAAGACAGACTAAATACTGTCAGAGAAAAGTTACGCTGTCTTCACAAGATTAAAAGAATTTATAAATACACATGTGGGAGCTTGCACAACCCAATTGCAAGACAATTTTATATTAAATACCCAATTAAGTCACTCTTGCTCAAGGAAATCCCTTTCTTACACGCATAAGTATACTGAGTCAAATAAATATAGTAACAAATACTCAAAAAGAGCGTTGGGAAGATGAAAATAAGGAACTCCATGTCAGAGCATGTTAACTACGCTGCACTGTTGTTTCCTCCCCAGCTCTCCCACCAGACTGATGGAGCTGGAGCAGTAATGGGGGAGGAGGAAAGAAACCTTTCCATGAACAAGTGGGTGTGCTGTCCTACTGCTGCCTTAAATCACAAAAAACTCTTTGGCTGGTTGATTCTCTAACTCATAAAATGCCTCCAGTGCACTGCGTGGCTTAAGTGTCTTGAAACAGCTGATTTCACAACAAAGAATGCATGATCAAATTGCACAACATTTTGGTCTGCTTTCAGAAATCAATCAAATAAAAAGCCCCCCAAAACCCAAACCACACTTACAATTCCACAAGCCTGGTAAGCCAAACACCAACCAATAGAAACCCACAAACAACTCAACAGTCTTAAATTGCAGCAAGGAAGATTCATGTTAGAAAATTAATTGTAGTTGTCTAAATTAGGGCATTTTGACACCAGATTTTTAGCCACCTACGGAAGGTGACTCTTCTCATTTTAAGTAGGATTCAACAACACTTCTGACTCTCCACTGGCTGGAATACAAATCAAATGGACACCTGTATTTCTTAGGTGAACTTACGGGAAATTAGTCTCAACCTAATGAAATCAATGAAGTTTATTTAAACACAACAGACTGCTTATGATGCCTATGAATTTCCATCACTTGTTTTTCATCCTAGATCAGAGGCTAATCTCTGTCAGGCAGAGCTGAGGCAGAGTTTCCTGTGAGGAGGTGCTATGAAATACAGCATCATTCTAGTTAACTCCACCTCAGCTCTTCCCAATACTTGTATTTTCTGTTTTATTTACTCACTGAAGAAAACAGATTCATCAACGTGAAAATAAACTAATGGTCTTAAACTGTGAGTATGAAAGAGTCCTCCCCTACTACTCACTGATATCCTTCCCATTTGCAGAAAATTCACATATCAATTAAACTCACCTGTTAATTAAAAGCTTGTCTGGAAAATTCTTTGCTAGTTGGAAGCAAAAGAAAGTATAAAAAGTATCTGAATGCTGAAGCTTTGAATTTTAATTACTTACTCCCAGGTTTGTTTGTGATCCCTCAGGTGTTGGCTGGGCAACAGCAAAGAACTGGAAAAAAGAAACAAAATAATTTTGTAATTCCTGCTGTGAGGAAGAAAATGTATTGAGAAGGCTTCCAATTTTTTCTTCTTATCTTGTTTAGATTTGCTCTTTATTAATGTACTTATAAGAAAATATCTGCACAAAAAGGAAAAAGATTCTGAAAGATTACAGGCAACTACAGTGAATAATTATTCTCCAGATTTGATATCTTTTTTTTTTTTAATAATATGAGGACTCCTATTGTGTTTGTGTCACAATGGAGAATATCAGTATAATTATAAATGAGAATAATGATAATAAATTTGGAATAAAGGCTACAGTTTGTATCAGATAATCAATTACATATATATTAATATATATTAATTATATATGTATATTAAATTTGTGTTGTTTATTTTATATGCATCTAAATAGAAAAGACATCAGTAGTTTAACAAAAACTCTGGGACTCATAGAAATGTGATCCCTCTCTCTAGCTACCCATATAATAATAGTTGGTCTTCTGACGTTCTCTTTCTTTCCCACAATTTTTAGAAAAGGGATTTTTTTTTTAACTGAGTAGAATACTTTATCTAAAAAAAAGAGAGTCTGGAAAATAAACATGGAAGCAGGGGATAGTTTTTCTGCTTTTCCTCATTAAGATAATCACCCTCTCCCTCCGCCAAGTCATAATATTTTAATAACATGCAATTTTTAGTATCCCTTTATTAGGGATAAATAGCTGAGACACTGATTTGGATCAGCAATTTTTCCAGTCAGAAAATTCATTTTGACCTTTTACAGGGGAACTTAAAGATTTCCTGAGGTTTCTGATGAATCTTTGTGTGGAAAATTTGGCCATCTGAATCAGATGAATGTTTACACATTGAGTTCTCCAAGAACTGGGATGAGGACTTTGATTTTTTTTTTTGCCCACATACACACAGCATATGTACAGTTGTTTAAAAAAGTTCAGTTATCAGTTAAACTACTCTTTGTTCAAACTGACTTGCACACAACTAGATGACAACAGCAGCTGTAATTGAAGTGACTCTGTTCAACAAACTTAAGAGTTTCAAATTGAACAAAAAAAAATGTCAAAAGGACCATAAGTGATAAAGAGTTTATTCACTATGTATATAAGCCACATTCAAATATATCAAGTGAAAATATTAAGCAGAAACTGAACACAGGTGAGTGTGGCTGTTCAAGTCTGGTACAGGTTATAGGACAGCTGAAGAATCAGATGCTGCTTTAAAGTGCATTTAAGGGACTAGGAATGTTAAACAGTTCAGATTCCACTTGTATTAAGTTCATGGTAAAGGTTTCCTCATCAGATGAGCAAGACTTTATGAACTGTAACAGCACAAGTCATTTTTGGCTATTACACTTCTCTTAGTGCTGCTGGCTTAGCAGTATATATTCAGTTATGTATTCAGGCAGAGACTTTTGTTCTCTCTGTACAGGTAAAAATTCTGAATATTGTGAAAGTCAGTAATTTTAGTAGCCTTAAATAAATTAAAATATTAAAGTGTATTAGAAGTGGATGAAGAATAAACCATAAGAAATTCAGTCACAGTTTAAAAAAGAAAGAAAGAAAAGGAAAAAACCCTGAAAAGTAGGCAGGCCTCTATCATCCATCTTTTTTTTTAGCTGAATGTCTTTCAAATGAAGACAAAAGCTTGTTTACTGCAGTTTCTTTGGGGAAACACCAGGAGTAGCCACGATACATTCAATTACCTAACTTACAATTAATGAGATATTTTATGAATCTGTAATTCATAAAAGAATGCCTTATGAAAATTCAAGATATCAGCAGGTCTTATGTAGGTTACTTGTAAATATGGCTTTAAAAATTAATACATGTTCTTTCTGGAAGAACGAGAACCATCTCTGAAAAAACGACAATGTCACACGCAGCCGGACGTTAAGGTTAAGAGATGAGGAAGTATTTTGTAGTTAACAAAAAGTGTAATTTTGGATGTTTTTATCTAAGAATTTATTCAGATACATCTTCTATTGTTATTTATAAAAACCTTGCTTCTGCAGCACAGGACAGAGACACCACGTTCAGTCCAAGGTGATGAAAATGCTTTCCAAACAGCACATGTATTCCAGTGACAGCAGGGTGGGCTGCAGGCTGAACAGGATTACAACTAATGCACAGGTATCTAAGAAAATAAAGGTGTCAGGATAACTTGGATTATCCAGTGGGATGGATAATATCCATCACTCCTGAAAAATTCATCCTTCTCATTGGTGACCAGTTATGTAGAAAAGCCTGACATGGACATGGAGCAGAGGAGGAGTCCCTGCCATGACTGAATGCAGACAACAGACCAAGGCACACCAGGGGAAGCTCCCCCTGAACTTGACGTTTTAAGATAAAATATCACCTCTTGAGCCAGGTTAGGAATGTCTAAACTCACGTCTCACATGATCTGTAAACTGTATAATCCTTCTACAAACACCAGCTGTTGATTGTGGATATATTAGTCTGAGAAAAAGAGGAACTGCTGTGCACCTGACCCTTGACAGTCACTGGTGCAATTAATAAGTCACTGAGACTCAAAAAAATCTTTATGTTACCAATTATAGTGCCACTAGACCCTCTTCTTCCTTAGTTTGATTGATCCTCTGGAAATAAATGTGGAAGACAGAAATTCCCTGAGAATTTTTCCAATCATCAATTTTTCCTTATATCTACATATGAGGAAATGTTAGGCATCCTTTCCTGTTTATGACTGAAAAAGCAGGGAAAATACATTGCAGATTTCCTAATGTTTTGCATTTTGCAGAGTCTTTAATAAAATTACCAGCTGAAAATAATTTTAAGTTCCTAGGAAAAATGGTAAATGCTAATGATCATTTTCAATCTAACTCTCATGAGTTTTCCCTCTCTTTAGAAATAGTTTCCTAAGTTTTTTTTCTTTCATTTTTCATTCTTTTCTTCATATATGTGTTCTATCCTTAAAATTCAGCCGTGTTTAAACAGCAACACAAAAACATTCACAATTTTCACTGTTTTCAGGCAGCATTTGTCAGCACACTTAACTCAGTTCCAAATTGCTCTAAAAGAGGGGTTTTTTAAAGAGCAGTAAGTCTCTTATTCATGGACTCATGCTTTTTTTGTTATTCTTGTTGGTATCCAATATGAATTCCAGTATTTTATGCATATTACTGTTAATTTGGGTTTTCTGGGGAGTGGCTGTCCTCTTCCTTTATGGCAGCTATCAATGACTTCTTCTTAGTTATGAGACAGAATCCTATATAAAAATGGCAAATCATATTAAGCTTCTCTGTGATCCTTGATCTTCTGCCAGCACATCTGATCCATTTCCAGAGTACATGAGTACGGATGTGTGCCTTGGTTAATAAATAAACAGTTCCTGTAAAAACGCTTTTTTCTCCTACCATCTTAACCCTCCATGTTTTTTGAAGAAATCCATGTGATATTTCAATCAGGATCTCTTTTCTTAAGAGAATATTAGTACTGCCTTAGGTCTGAAACTTTATAAATGGAGCAAATCTCCTTTTGCTAGGGAAGCTTTTGGCAAAATATTTTTTCCATGTATTGCGCAGTCTGTTATCGTCATGATCAGCACAGATTTTGTGAGTCCCAACAGCCTGGTCTCCTACGAGTGAGAAATTCCACTTCTCCAAATGAAGGGAAAAGATAATATATGGGAGTCAGCATAGAAGTTGTTCCCTCACTGTTGAGCGCTTCTCTGGTTCTATCTGTGGCAAATACGAAAAAATACATCTGTCATTATGTTTAATAATATAGACATGTTTCATCTGAGAGATGGACTATAGCTTCCAAAATAATTTCAAGATGTCACTAAGTATTTCGAGTGCTAAATGAAAAAAATTTAGCCGCTGCCACCTTGACCTGCATCTGCACAATTTCTGCAGAAATCATTTATCAATTCCTTTATAAATTAAAAACTAATTTACTGGTATTTATTGTTATATTTTATATTATTTAGTATTATATATAAATATCACATTTAACATATTTTAGACTTACAATCTGCATTTCTACATTCCTGTAGTGGTGCAGAGGAGGGAAGTACCCTCAGTTCAGACCTACCTACGCTGAGCTTAGTGGTAGCACGGCACAGGAGACTCCTACCAGCTGAACACAGGTAGTGTGGGATAACTTTCCAGCCTCTGGTATTTCACACCCAAAGAGTGTGGGATGGCACCAAAAGCTGCGTTTGCCAGCACTATGCAAGACAGCTCTTTCTCAAATCTGACTATTTTTCCAACCCTGCTAATGAGAGGGGAAAACAAATTCGGAACATGAGCCGGCACTTAAACCTTGTACACAAGGTGCTTCTGCTTTTGGATGAATGATGGCAGGATTGGGGGCTGGGTCACATTTTTTTCCTACAGGAATCACAGCCTTTCACTTTGAGAATCTCCAATTTGCATCAAAAAATTATGGTGATGCCTTTCACTAATTTCAAGGATTCATACACAAGGATGAAATACTTTGCCAGCGGAGCAGAAAGCACAGATCGATAGATCAGAGGAGGATCTGAGCAGAGCAACAATCATACTGTAAATGTCAGAGCTGAGCAATTTCCACACAAATAAAATAAAGCTGCCATGGGCAAACAGTTTCAGACTGGAGGTGTCAGACTGCTGCTGAGTGCCTGCGCTGCAGTCCCAGGGTCACTCACACGGGAGCAGGTGCCGCGACACTCGGCAAGGCAATATCACAGCTCTGCCCTTACACACAGTTGCTCCCCGGGAAGGCAAAGCTTAACACTTCAAAGTGGCTTCCACACCCCGCACCCCTCTCACAAACTAAAGAGCTCAACTCAGGAACTTTCACTTCACAAGAAAACGCAGAGGCTCTTTTTTCTCCTTAGTTTGCAACTTCCTCTTTCCAGAAGAGCAAACAGGGAAGATGCAACATTCATATCCTGTGATTTGCTAGAGCCTGTGGTTTCACGTTCTCTCCCCAGAACATCACAGAGGTCTGACAGCTGAGCACAGCCTGCCTTCTGATCCAGACA